CAGCTTTCTTTTTCCCTGTGACAATGTAGAAGGTGTGTATGTGATCCTGTTCCCAGCTGAGTTTAAGTTGCTTCTGTACAGTCAGTGGGTCAGCATTTATTAAAGAATAGTTGTGCTCTTTAATGTTTCCATCAAAGCACCTCTATTGACAATAGTAACCTCCCCAGACAGGGCCCTGGGGTGCAGCTTCAAGCACCTGCTGCAACTGCCAGGTATCTTTGAAGCCAAATGTTTTATTTTACAGGTTCGTTTTGTTTTATGCATTGTGTTTTACCCTTTGGGTTTCCATACCCCAGCATACACATGGTTCAGTGTGAGAACTCAATTCACAAAAGGTACCTGCGCACTGTGTAGGAAGTATGTTGAGGAATATCAAAGCTCTGTGGTAGCAGATGAAGAATGAGCTCAACCAGGGGGAGGGGCTATCTCACTCTTGGGTGATTGGATTCATAAAGCGCCTTCCTGAAAATTATGGCCATCAGGGATTACCCCTCTAGGGTAATCAGGCAATCAAAAGGCATCACTTACAGTGCTAATGTCCCCAACCCACTGAATAAATTGTTATTTTCATGGAAAGCAGGGTAGTGAAGCCAAATGGGTCTGTTTCATTTTGGAGGATATAGATTTCTAGGACAATGATAGTATTTAGATAATAATAAAAATATCAAACATTCATAGAGGTTTACTATATGCTAGCTAGTCCTAGTATATCTCATTTTACCTTTGAGATATGGAGATATAACTAACTTGTCCATAGTCACAGGACTAGTTCATGTTGGAATCTGTGTGTACTTGTTTGTACATGTATATGTGCAAGTACATATGTGTGTGCATGGGATGTGGTGCAGAGGGAAGTACCTCATTTCCTCTGCAGAATTATGCCATGGATTAGACCCAGCCTATCAGAGAAGATTGCTGAATATAGTGGATTTGGATTGCCACCCAGGGTGGGTTATACCTAATGTCTGTGCATGTGCCAGACTGGATTTAATGTGACCAAATGGCCTGGAGTGAGAGGGTTACCCTTCTCCAGAGGACCCAGATTTCCATCAGTGCCTTTGCATAGTTCTCTCAGGAAAGAGAAGGAGCTGGCGGAATGGCTTTGTTTCTTTTTGTCCATAGGTCTGGTAGTGAGCTCTGAAGGCTGGTTGCAAGGTTGGCCACATTAGAGCCATTGATAGCCCTGGTTGTCAGGCCATATCTCACCCTGAAGACATTGGGGGATGAAGAGAGTGAGGAGGAAAAGAGGTCTCGAAACCACATCTTAAAGAACTGGGGTTGTTTAGTCCATACAGAACAGGTGTCAGGGGATAGGGGAATTATCTAGAAAGGGCAACTTTGCTGTAGTTCAAGGAAAATCCCAGGCTGGTTAGGTAGAAATTCTGCAGAACATATAAACTCAGCATCAGAAATTTGAAAATGCCTGGTAGAAAGATGTGACATCTTGGAGAGAGGTTATTGGCATATGTGGAAGTACTAACTTGGGTCTCAAGCTCGGATTCTTTCACTTGCTCATGCAAAATGATTCCCACAGGCTGGGGCCCCACCTTTCAGGTACATTTCTGAATGTGGGATGCCTTCATAGGTGGGCAGGTTGGATCTGAAAGGTCTCTTGCAATCCCACCCAAACCCGAGCTTCCAGTCTGCAGGATGTTTTGCTCAGAGGCTGCCTGTTGAGCAGTGCAGATCTGTGACCCAGCTAACCAGGTTGGGCCAAGAAAGGGTAGAGGATGCTCTCCAGGGTTTCCATGAAAATCACTACAAACCCAGTGACTTAAACAATATAAATTTTTTGTCTAACAGTCCTGGAGGCTAGAAGTCCAAAATCAGGATGCCAGTAGGGTAGATTCCTTCTGAGGGCCATGAAGGAGTGATTTGTCCTAGGCCTATGTCCTTGGCTTGTAGATAACCATCTTAAGTTCACAAGCCATTTTCCCTGCAAGTGTATGTACCTCCACATTTCCCATTTTCATAAGGACACTAATCATTTTGATTTAGTGTAACCCTTGATCTCATTTTTTTTTTACTTGAGTACCATTATAAAAACCCCATCTCTAAGTAGGTTCATATTCTTACTTACTAGGATTAGGACTTAATGTATGAAGTTTGGGAGACACAGTTCAAACAGTATTGGAACAAGAGGCCCTCCCATGAGTTGAGCCCATGTGGCATTTCAGGGATGTAGTAGGTGGTGAATCTGAGGGCTAAGAGCACAGACTGTGGAGACTGCCTGGGTTCAAATCTCAGCTCTGCCATTTCCAGGCCATGAGGCCCCTCAGGGACTTGATTTCCTCACTGCAAAGTAGGGTAGTGGGAGGACCTGTTGCCATGGGGTCATGGTGAGGATCACATGAATAAGTGGAGGGAAGATGCTTACAGGTGCTTGGCATGCAGTAAGTGGAGACTGTGGTTAGCTGTTATTATAGTTAATGCCTCAATCACACTACAGATTGTGGTTGTATATTTTCTGTCCTAGTAGGCAGAGAAATGACTTTGCTCAGTGGTTTGTCCTTATCAATAGAATATTGATAGATCACATGTGTTGTAATTTCTCTCCAGGAATGGTATAATGCTTTGTTTTATTTTAAGAGAAACAGTGCAATTTAGACTTGTTTTTTTTTTTTCTTCAGTAATGAGAATTGAACCCAGGGCTTTGTGCATACTAAGCAAGTGATCTATCACTGAGCTACAGCCCAGCCTTAGACTTTTAAAAAATCACGTAGGAACCTTTATTCCAATGTTTCAGTGAACTCTGTTGGCAGCCTTTAATAAACTGAGAAGATGCTCAGTGATTAGGGACAAATATTCATGGTGGTATAGCCAATGAAGGAGTCAGGTGATTTATCAACTTATAATCTTATGTTTTAGTCTCCTATGCCTTTCCATCTAATGCTCTTTCTTTAGATCTGTATTCAGCAAACATGGGCAGCTTTGGTTTTATTAGTTTTTTTTTAATTGTAAAATACTCAAAGCATCACATTTGCTGTCTTAACCATTTCTAAGTGTATAGTCCAGTGACATTAAGTGCATTCGCAGTGTTGTATAAACATTACCACTATCCACCCACAGAATCCTTCTCATCTTCCCAAACTGAAACTCTACCCAATAAACACAACTCCCTAATTCCCCCATCACCTTAGCACCTGGAAGATACCATGCTGCTTTCTTTTTTTTGGAGGGGTTGGGATGGGTACCAGGAATTGAACTCAGGGACACTCGACCACTGAGCCACACGTTGTGGCTCTATTTTGTATTTTATTTAGAGACAGGGTCTCACTCAGTTGCTTAGCACCTTGCTTTTGCTAATGCTGCTTTGAACTCCTGATCCTCCTGCCTCAGCCTCCCTAGCTCCTGGGATTACCGGCATGCACCACTGTGCCCGGTATCATGCTGCTTTCTTTCTCTGTGACTTTGAACACTGAGTACTTCACATACGTAGAATCATGCAACATTTGCCCTTTTATAACTGACTTACTTACTTAGCATACTGTTGTAGCATGTGTCAGAATTTCCTTTCTTCCTAAGGCTGAATAATATTCCATTGTTTGTATGTACCTCATATTGTTTATCCATTTGATAAACAAAATCCTTTTGGCTCTTGTGAATAATACTACTATGAACATAGGTAAATAGACTTTAAAAAGATGTGATCAAGCATGTATATCTCTGTTGTAAAATAATTAAATATATAGTTGGTTAGAAAGCACCCTCCTACCCTGGTCACCTGAAATCTTCTAATTTAGAGAGAACCACTGTGTGTATTTTGTCTTCTCTTCCTCTAGCTGCATGTTGGCCTATACTTATGAACTGAGATCATTTTATACATATTGTTATGGAACCTGAGCTGTTTAAAAATGTTTGAAATTTCCGAAGACAATCAGTGGTTTCCTTGTTTTGAGCAGCAGGCTGCTGTGTGCCTGTGCCGGGCCAGACAAAGGCTGGCCTTCCCCTCTCAGTCTTCTGTGTGATTGGTACAGCAGCCCCCATTGCCAAGTGGAAACAGGCTGTGAGAAGCCCAAGGTCACCTTGCTCTTTCTGCCTCAAACGCTGGTCCCTAACTTGCCTCTCCTCTCCACCTCTTCCAGGCAAATGTCTGCAGACTGCGGTTAACCGTGCCACCCGAAAGTCCAGTTTCAGAGCAAACTGAAAAGAAGATTGAGAGAAGAGAGCAGGTGAGCCATCTTTGAGGCCAATCTTCAACAGTCCTGGACTTGTTCTGTTTAACCCACTCTCCTCCCGTCCCCAGGCAGTTCTCAGAGCTGTGCATCTGCTACTCTGCTGATATAAAGTCCCCCCTTGACCTGCCCGCCTGCCTCCCAGAAGCCAGCCTGCTCTCCCTGGTGGCTCTGCCAGTGTTCTGCTCCTGCTCTGCCCCTGCTCTTGTTTCTTGGCAAACACTGTGGCCCTGTGTTGCCTTGGAACTATAGGGACACTGGCCTTAGTGACAGGTGCTGTGTCAGGGAACGTGGTTTTTCCTGAAACAGCCCAGTGCGGTTCAGTCAAAGGGTCCTTTGTGAGCTGCTGCCCAGCCAGAGACTTTCTCAGGAGCTGGGAGTAGCCAGCTGGGAACCCAATTCAGGCTCAGGCATGGAGGAAAAGCCCAGCAGGCTGCTCTGGTGGCAGAAGGGACACCTTGAGTAGATGCAGGAGGAGTCCTGCTCCAAATGGTAAACACTCACGTGCCAGCAACTCCTGTGCTAAGTGCTGGGACCGTGAAGATAAGTGTGACCTTGTCTTTGCCTTAGAGGAACTCACAGTTTCTCAGGTGAAACAGACATAAATAAACAATGATGTGATATTTCAAGTATTCAGATCCAGCAACATAGAAAGGGCTTTGGGAACACAGAGAAGGGAATAATTGAATACTTGGCAGGGACATTGAAGTGCAGGCTTAAAGACTAAATGAGAGGTTGTATTTACCTTAGCCAGTGTTCCTGGCTGTTATAGTTCTCACGTGAGATTTCCAAAAGTTCCTGTGTTGATGTAGGAGGTGAAATGATTAGAGTATAAGTGTTTAGTAATGTAATCAGGGATTATCTCATTTGATAGATTCATAATTATATTTATTATTATACTGGGTCGTAATTGTAGTTAGGTGAGGTGTGGCTTGAAGAGGTGGGTCATTGGGAGCACCCTCTTGGGAATTATATCTTGCCCCCAGCTCCTCCCTCTGTCTCTGCTTTCCAGCCACCAGGAGGTGAGCAGCACTCCTCTGCTGCCACCCTTCCTCCATGGTGTTCTGACAAAATTTTGAAATCTGAAATGCTCTGAAACCACGAGCCCAAAGTAAACTTTTCCTCCTTTACGTTGGTCTTGTCAGGTGTTTTGGTTGCAGCAACCAAAAGGCTGACTAACACATTGGCCAAGCTATTTTACTCATTCACAAGCAATTATGGGGCCCCTATTGAATTCCAGGCACTATTTATTCTATGCACTAGGAGTATAGTAGTAGACAGCAAAATAGACAAAAAAAAATATGTGTCATCCACAGAACTTATATACTAGTGAGACAAGAATGAAAATAAATAAATATATATAAGATATAGAGTTTATAAACTCTACATATATCTTACAGAGTTTAAGAAATAGCGAGTGCTAATGAAGACAAATAAAACAAAAGGAGGGGATAAAAGTGCCAGAGATTAGGTCGTCCTTGTGCATGTTTCATATAAATATAACAAAACAAAAATGATGTGAGTTTCCAAAATGGAATCATGAGATGGAAGCTTCTTGAAGTACAAGCCTTGCTGTGGCATTAACCAATAATGTCATAAACCATAGAAATGAAGCTTCTCATTGATTGGTGAGTAGTTTGGTTAATAATGTCCTTAAGTTTACTGGAGGTCCCCATATCCCCTTCCCTCCTCTGACATCCCTCTCCTCCCACTTCCTATGAAGGACAAAGTGCTTCCCATGCCAGTGCAGATGACGAAGGACTGGGAAAGGAAGTGGAGAGGAAAGAAAAGGTAGAGAAAAGTGAGAGAATATAAACTCGCTGATGTGCTCACAAAGAAGGGTCCCATTAGAAAGATCTAGAAAAATGGATTCTCCAGGGAGAAGCAGGGAAAGGGCAAGGTAGGCCTGGGGCACCCAGTTAGAAAGCAGGGTAGCACTCAGAGATGAGTGAAGTCCTGGAAAAGGATGTAGGAGCTCTCTTGAAAGGGCCCTGTCTGATCAAATGGTAACAGATGGAGCATCACAAAGAATAATGACAGTACAGGTGGAATAGGTCTGATCTGAAAATCTGCACTCCCAAATGCTCCAAAATCTAGAACTTTTGGAACACTAACATGACAATCAAAATGCTTTGGATTTTGGAGCATTTCAGATTTCAAAATTTTGGAGTAGGGATGCTCAGCTGGTAAAGTCTTTGCAAATATCCCCAAATTTAAAAACTCCAAAATCTGAAACACTTTTGGTCCCAAGCATTTTGGATAAGGGTTATAACACAGTGAATAGATATAGTTTATAATGTATCAAAATATATAGGTACATTTTGATAATTAGAAAGAGAGAGTGTTGAGGAGAGGAAAGGGGCCTTTTTATAGAATGCTAGCTAATTAATTTAGAAAAATCTCCATTTTGTAACCAGCAGAGATGTTCATAAGTGGATGCAAAAACTAGTTGGTGAAAGATAATTGTGGAATAGGATATTCATGTGGTCTAAAAATGTTACCTTGAAAGATGACTTACTGATTCTACAGGGTCAGCGTACCTTACAGTGGAGCAACTGGGCAGTCAGCATTTCAACCGAGTGATCTAATAGGAGACAGGCCAGGTTATGTGCTTTCTGAGGAAGTACACTATTACCTGTGTACTAGTCTTGCCAAACTTGTCTAACTGAATTAAAACAAGGAAGCAAAATCCCAAATATGAAACAGTTTACAAAACAAGTGGTTTGTGCCTCTCCATAGATTCAATGGTATTTTTTAAAAGATGAGACTTGGTAGTAGATAAGAGAGACTTAAAAGACCTAACGTGAAATGTAATTTGTGAACCTTGATTAGATCTTGGGTAAAAAAATTTATAAAAGACATATTGAGATAACTTAAATAATTTTTAATATAAATAATATCTAATATATTAGCTATCATTGAGTAAATGGTCATTTTCTTACTTGTGATAACGGTACTATGGTTATGTTGTTGAAGAATTCATTAAGCTTCTCTGAAAGTTCTTTGAACATTTACCATAAAAAACAGTTTTGGGTCACAAGGGAGGTTGGGGAGGGGAATAATAGAAATCCACTGGATTAGATAAAGGGAAACAAAGGGAAGGGATGGGGAGGGGAATAGGAAAGAATAGAATTAATCGGTCATAACTTTCCTAGCCTTGTATTTGTATACACAGCCAGGGTAACTCCACATCATGTACAACCACAAGAGTGGGATCCTAAATAGAATAAGTTATACTCTATGTATGTATAATTTGCCAAACTACGCTCTCTGTCATGTATAACTGAGAAGAACAAAAAAAAATTTTGGGATCAAAAAACTTAAAACCACAAAGAGAGTGGGAAGGGTCAGCTTGGCTACTGGTGCCTTGAGATGACCAGGATTGGATGGGACCCTCTGTTGCCGGGGGGACATTCCCTTCTGCCTCCACACTGCTCTTCTCCTTGTATGTCCCTTTTATAGCTGATGGTTTCAGGCACAATGACTGCTTAGAATACTTTTAAAAATTTTGTTTTAATCACTTATACTTGACAGTAGAATAAATTTATGCACTTTGATATATCATACATAGATGGGATATAATTTCTCATTTTTCTGAGTGTACATGATATAGAATCATATTGGTCATGCAGTCACATATATACATACAGTAATAATGTCTGTTTTGTTCTATCCTTCCTATCCCCACATCCCCTCCTCTCCCATTCCCTACCCTCTCCTTCCCTCCCTTCATTTCCTTCTATCTAATCTAAGGTAATGCTATTCTTCTCTAGTGGCCCCTGCCTTATTGTGAATTACCATCCACATATTAGAGAAAACATTTGGCTTTTGTTTTTTTGGGGACTGTATTATTTTTTTTAAATATTTACTTTTTAGGTGTAGATGAACACAACACAATGCCTTTATTTTTATGTGGTGCTGAGGATCAAACCCAGGTCTCGCCTGTGCTAGGCGAGCACTCTACCACTGAGACACAATCCCAGCCCTGGGACTGGCTTATTTTGCTTAGCATGATATTCTCCAACTCCATCTATTTACTGGCAAATGCCATAATTTTATTCTTCTTTAAAACTGAGTAATATTCCATTGAATATATATATACATATACATTTTCTTTATCCATTCATCTATTGAAGGACACCTAGCATGGTTCCATAGTTTAATATTATGAATTGAGCTTCTATCAGCATTAATATGGCTGCATTACTGTAGTATGCTAATTTTAAATCCTTTGGGTATAAACCGAGGAGTGGATAGCTGGGTCAAATGGTGTTCCATTCCCAGTTTTTGAGGAATCTCCATATTGTTGTCTGTATTTTGATGATTGCCATTCTGACAGGAGTGAGATGAAATCTTAATGTAGTTTTGATTTGCATTTCTCTAATTTGTAGAGATGTTGAACACTTTTTCATATATTTGTTGATTGATTGTATTACTTCTTCTGTGAAGTATCTGTTTAGTTCCTTAGGCCATTTATTGATGATTAGGTTATTTGTATTTTTTGGGGGGTGTTAAGTTTTTTAAGTTCTTTATATACCCTGAGATTAATGCTTTATTGGAGGTTCAAGTGATAAAGATTTTCTCCCAATCTGGAGGCTCTGTTTTCACATTATTGGTTGTTTCCTTTGCTGAAAAGAAGCTTTTTAATTTGAATCCATCTAATTTATTGATTCTTGATTTTACTTCTTGCACTTTAGGAGTCTTGTTAAGGAATTTAGATCCTAGGCCGACATGGTGAAGATTTGAGCCTACTTTTTTTTTTTTTTTCTATTAGGCTTAGGGTTTCTGTCCTAGTGCCTAGGTCTTTGATCCACTTTGAGTTGATTTTGTTCAGGGTGAGAGATAAAGGTTTAATTTCATTTTGCTACATATGAATTTCCAGTTTTCCCAGCACCATTTGTTGAATAGGCTATTTTTTTTCTCCAGTGAATATTTATGGCATATTTGTCTAGTATGACATAACCATATTTATATGGGTTTAAATGAGAGGCCCAAGT